AATAAAATAAAAATCCTGCATATACATAAAATGCCGGATTGGACCAATTGTCCCTCTAATTTCAGCAAAACCTATTCACCATACAAATCCAATCTAACTTACTTTGTCGCTAGGGATAAAAAAAAATAAATGAATACGAGTACAATAATACGACTATCTGCTTCGTTATGCACGTGCGCTCTGCATTTAGTAGATCTAAACTAATATCTATCCACCGTGGGTGATCCAGACGGTCCAGAGGTTATACTTTGACTCTCATAGTTCTGAGTTCGATTCCGTACTAATTTATCCAAAAAAAAACTAGTATCTATGGCGTCGTTTGGAATGATGTTTTTGCCAAAAACAAAACACCGTGAGTTTAGAAACTATAGTGTTTTTTGAGCTAAATCATCCTCAAACCAAAAGCACAACACTTATTTTAAAAACACATTTTATGTGTTTTAAGTTGATGTTTTTATTTTGAGTTCAAGGAGGTGTTAATATAATATCTAACATAATATATTAAATATAATTAATATATAGTTATTATCGACGTGCTTATATATCTTATATTATGTTATGTTATATTATATTATACTACGTTATAGTTAATCTAATATATTAGCAATATTTATTATATAATATAAAATATATCAATAATTAAAAATATCTTATATAATAATAAACTAACATATTAAATACTAATATTTAATATGTTGATAATGTATTATATATTTATATGATAATATAGTCAAATTAATATAATAATAAATATAATAAAATATAAATAAATTAATAAAAAACAATAAAGTTGTTGATAACAAATAATAATATAATATATAATAGTAAACATATTTAATAATAAAACAACAATAGCTTAAGAATATATTATATAGCATATATAATATAGTAATGTGATAAAACATAAAAATTAATATATTACATAACAAATAATATAATATATTATATAATTATATAATATTATAATTTAAAATAATTTATTGCTAACAAATGTTAATGTTATAGTAATAATAATATATTCATAAAATAATAATATATATTTATATCATAAATTATTACTATATTATTAAAGTAATTATGAATGAACTCTAACATAGTTAGAAACTATAATATATTATATAATGTTGAAATATTTAAAATACATTAATTTATTAATAATATACTAGTAATATAATAATAATAATAATAATATTATTATTATTATATAAGATTAACAACAGTATAATATAATATTAATAATAAAATAATATTATTTTAAAAGTATTCTATAATATATTACAATACCAAATTGATAAACCAAAGTAATTACATATATTTTTTATTTGAAAAAATTTAATAATTATAATGTTATATAATACATTAAAGTACAATGTAATATTACAATACATTATATAATATTATAATGTATTATATTTACTATTATAACATATTTAACACAAATATTATAATAGGTCAAAGTAGTGTTAATAAAAAATATTCGGCATGGTATTTTAAAAACGCTTTAGAAGAAAATACAACACCTTTGTATTTATTTATAAAAATACAACAAGAAAAATATCATGATATCTAAATTCGTACATTATCCAAAAAACTCAGGGCGCACATGCCCTAGAGGGCAAAATTGGAAATAAGCAAATAGGGCAAAGCTTCATGGTCCATGGAACACTGTGGCTCCAAAAAAGTAACGGACTGTCTCGTGGTCCCCACAAATATTCGCCCCTTTTCTCATCGCGCATCGCACATGGACAGGCACTCTGTTTCATTTTTTTTTTCTCGATTTTATTTTATTTTTTTATTTTTCCACTTTTAAAAACCTCGTAATCTCCTCCTCCTCAAAAAAGAAAAGAGGGAGGGAAAAAAGAAAAAAGAAAACACTAGAACCTCTGTTAAATCTCTAATCCTCATCCAAAAGTTATCGCGATCGAGCAATGGCTTCCCTTCTCGAATCTGGATGGCAGGTATCATCGTCTTGCTCGCCTTGGCGCTGCTACATTCTCTCAATCGTCAAGGAAAATCCTAGGATTTGTCTTCTTCTAATTTAGCGCTTTTTTTTAATTATTTTTCATATATATTTTTCTACCGAAATCCTTGTAGTTTATATATCATGCAGATGTTTTAGATCCTGCTATCGATTTTGTAGCTTGACGAATTCCTGCCGATGATTTTTCCTTGTTTTACTCTTCATTTGCTTCCTGTAATTTTGATTTTATAGCCAATGGTATTGTACTAGGGCATTATTTAACGCTGATGTTGGAATCGAGTGAATAGTTTACGCGACCTATTTATTTATGTTGATTGATGTTTTGCGGGGGACGCAAGATCATCCAAGGCAAATTTAGTACAATTGTTGAGTGCATTCGAAGGAGACTAGAGTTTTATTGAGCATAAAACTGGAGAGGAACACGACGAGGACCAGCAATTCAGCAAATGCATCGATTAGGAGATGTAATCGAGATATAGCTAAAAAGAGGAAAAGAGGACTAAAGAATTACCAAAAATAAGTTGGTATAAAGATCCCTGATAGAGCTTATTGAAGGTATAGGATTCATGTAGCTGATGCCAAAAATTTTTTTAGGAAACAGGCTTTGTTGTTGATGATGATGTTGGTGTTGTAAAGTTAACTGACAATTCATTATGATATAGGGCTTAGAAATTGTTTTGTTTTTTTCTAAAGATAGACCAGTGTATACTGTAGTTTCTACAATCATTGATATGGTGATTGGTGATTGTTTGGGTCCTTTGGGGTTGGGCATGGGTAGGGTGAGTGGAGACACTCCATTTGGAAGTTATGTGTATTCAGACAATCTTAGCGCAAACAATCACTTCATAACTGGAATCTCTTCATAATTTTCATCTGTGATGTCGACCTCCAGAATAGATGATGCAAAAAATTTTCGTGCAACTTTTTTTTTTAATTTTAAATCTTGCTTGATTTTTGGGTCTAGAGCTTTGACCTTGCCTGCTGTTACAACTTTCTACTAACCTCACATAACAACAACTTCCTGTTTTATCTTCTTTACTTAGATACATGTTGATCATTGCTTAAGGTTTGGTTGCTGTTTTTCCTATTAGTTTATTTGGCCTATTCAGGCGTTTGTCTAGTTGTTGCTGTTGTATGATTAACAGGTTCTTGAGATTTCAAGTTTTTATATTTTTTTTTATTATGAATATTTTGTAATGCCTATGACCTGTTGCTTGACTGAGTAGTTATATAGATATAAGCAAGTAATAACTGGGGATCCAAAGACTTCGCTATCTGTAAGCTTGCTAATTGGTTGGCTGACTTCCACCCCTAAGACCAGATTTAAACATATCTATAACTTCAGGAACAATTTCACTGAAGTTTTGGGTCTCCCCTTTTTACTATGTCAACTAGAAAAATATTGTCAATCTGCCTTTTAGTTCTAAACTGGTCCTTTTTTTTGTTGCTCCTGCAGGACTTAATAAATAATTTCAGTGATTTTCAATTGGCTACCCTGGGCTCCTTCATAATCCATGAAAGTGTGTTTTTCTTGTCCGGACTTCCATCTGTATTCTTCGAGAGATTAGGACTTTTCAGCAAATACAAAATTCAGGTTTGCTTTTCAGAATCTCAGCTTTATTAAACTACTCCATTACCTTATTAATTCATAGATCTGCGTGGAACATGATATTATCTAATGTATCCCAAATTTGTAATGATATTGTGCTGATGTTGTTTATCTATAGGATAATTCACGTTCTCTCTCAGATGTAGTCTCAATGGCTTACAAGCCTTAAGGTTGATAATTTATGTGGCTATCTTATGGCAGTTACCTTTTGGTGTTTCATCTATTAGTCTACGTATGCAAGCATTTGTATGTTGTGAAGGATACTATTTTGTGGTGCCATTAATCTAATTTCCAAATCTACATAAACCCTTAACAGAGAATCCTTCCACATGGGTAAAAAGAGAGAAATGAAGAAAATAGAGAGGAGATAGGGAGAGAGGGAACTAGAAGTGCTTGCACAATGTGCCTGAACATTGCACCATATCATGCTGCTTTCTCCCCAGCACTTGTCCCTGCCCTTTGCTGTATTCCACTTTCCTTTCTAAAATTTTGACAACGAGCCTGGCTCAGAATAATGTGGTTAAGATGAGGTACAGATTGAGGCCTATCCCATTCTTTTTAAGAACTAACACACTTAAGTAAGTGTTTAGACCTACAGAAATGTAATTCTGTTGTTTTAGATCTCATCTCGAGTAAAATGGGATTTTGGCATGTAATCCCTTTTAGTTATAGGTGTTTAGACCTACAGAAATTTAATTCTGTTGTTCTAGATCTCATCTCAAGTAAAATGGGATTTTGGCATGTAATCCCTTTTAGTTACCATATGATTTTATTTTCTGAATTCAACAGTTTACGGTTGGCATCCTAATTTATAATGTTTCATGTCACTTAGGTAATTGTTTAAAATTACGGTCACTAGTTTCTTTGATATTAACCGCTCCTCTATTTGGTTAGGTAAGTTAAACTTCCATAAAATTAATGTAACATTACTTTGCGTCGTTGCAATATGATTTTTGGTCATTGTAGTAACTCGCATGTTCCTGATATTCTAAAAACATATGTGAAATGTTATTGCATGCACGCATCATACAAGCACGAAAAGTTATTACACACAATTCTAAACTCGTGGATATGTGTGTTACCTCTAGTGTGCAGTCCACATACTGATATCCATACACGCCCCATTTAGCGAAAATCTGAAACAGGAACTCAGATAGAGAGCCTCCCTGAACTCTTGAATCTCAGAATTCAGACCTGGCTCAATATGCAACAGTAGTTATATTTTTTATTATCTTTTCATGTATCTTTCTGATGATCCTTGTACATTCTTGTCTACAATTGGTGCATTATGTTGGATGTTTAAGCATGGTTCTTGTATTGTGTTCCTATGTTATAGCCACATTATTTTGGGTAATGATTTCACTTGGAATTACTTTTTTCTTTGTGTGATATTGCATTGTTTACTCATTTAAGGTAAGTTACAAGTCAAATATCAGCAGTCATCTGATAATTGCAACTCCCCTAAAATTGTAAATAATCCCTGTGAAATTATTAGCTGCAATAATACTTTACAAAATTAATTGTAGTAATTTGAGCAATGTGTTTCTAAGTTTCTAAACACATGCATGAAGTGTTATACTCCTCTTTGCTGAAAGTAAGGCAGAAGCTTCTGAAACCTTCTAAAACTAATCCACAATTTGCATATATGATATGGGAACCGAAACTGGGTTCAGACTCATCATTGTGCAATACTAGTTAAGTTTTCTACTTTCTCAATATGTCAATGTGCATACAAGTTAGGTTTTTTATTCCCCCCTTTGATTCTTGCAGCCACTTTTCTTTACTCTCCTTTTGACAACTGATACATTATTTACATGCTCGAGCATTGATGCAGGACAGATCCTAAACTTAATCTTGCAAAAGATTTGATGATGATTTTAATTTTATTTCTTTTAACGATTTGATTTTTTTTCCTTTAGTTGAGATCTACTTAAGATCTACTTGGGATCGAGTTTGTTGTTTAGGTTGAATTGAATTTGTTATTTTGTTAGGGTGTGTTATTTGATGTTACCTATTTTGATTAGATTTTATTTTATTTCTATAAAAGGGGTTGTCTTTCTTCATTTTTGGGGAGAAAAATGTTTGTGAGAAACCTTGCAAGTCAATTGCAGCTAGTATTAGATATGTGAGTTGCCGGCATATGAAGTGCTTGGGTAAACCCACATTCGTATTTTTTTATTTTTAAATGAAGAGTGCAATTTCAATTTTTATTTTTTTATTTTGTATCCAAATAAATCTATTGGGCATATCTCTTCCATCCATTCCTCATCATTTGTTATTAGAGCTGATGAGATTCATTGTTGCAGCTTTGACATCAACAATGCAACAATTAAAAGTCTAATAATTTCAAAGTTTAAACTTGAGGTCGAGTTTCTTCAATCGCAGGAGATTTGATGCAGGATAGATCCTGGACTTTATCTTGCAAAAGATTTGATGGAGATTTTAATTAGGGTTATTTCTTTTAGGGACTTGATTTTCATTTAGTTGATATCTAGTTAGGATTAGGTTTGTTGTTTAGGTTTGATCATGGAAGTCGGGAACGCGGGACACTATAGTGAACCGCGTCCCCGGGTTAAATCGTTCCGGATTCATGATGAATACAACGCGATTCACCAATTCTAGCGATTCAATTTAGAATTCAAACTAGTTAAAATTTTGACAAACAATAACTCTTTTTCAATAGAATAAACAACAAAAAAAGGTGAAAAATTAAGCAAATAATTCTTGCATACTTTAATTGTAACATACTCAAGGTTCTTTTCCGTTACCGATACCAACTAGCATATTTCTTAAATTTGACTATTGCAAAACCTTTGATTCCTATATTTAAGAACCGAACCTAATACGTACCATGTTCCCTAGCGTACCATCTAAGTCTACCCCGCATACCCGATTCCTAATGACTGGTGTACTACGCTTCTGTACCCATCCCGTGAAGCGGAATGAATTGCGTTCCATGCAACTATTGGTTGGGTTGGATTTGTTATTTTGTTAGGGTGTGTTATTTGATGTTATCTATTAGCTAGAATTAGATTTGTTTTATTCCTATAAAAGATGTATTTCTTCATTCTTGGAGGGTGAGAGAAAAGAATTTATGAGAAACCCTGAATGTGTTGCAGCTAGTATTAGGCATGTGAGTTGCTGGCATGTGAAGTCCCCGGGTGTGAAGCCAGCATTTGTATTTTTTTATTCTTAAATGAAGAGTGCAATTTCAATGTTTTTTTTTAATTTATCCAAATTAGTCTCCTGAATAGATCTCTGCTACCAGTTCCCCATCAAGCATGGTTCTTAAGTTTCACCTGTGTATGTTCAGCCATTTTTCTTTAGTGATGCCTTTATTGACAGTTGATGTTTTCTTTGTGTGACATTAAAATTTAAAACTTTCTATGGTTATTTAATGTGATTTTTTAATCTAAACTCAGTAGTTTTCTAGTAATCTTTGTCCCTTGAATATTATATACTGTTTATGGTGACTAATTGCTCCAACGTTACTTTGCAATATTAATTTTTAGTATTTGTAGTAACTCCAGACATAGGCATGATGTGCTATTCTATTGTAAGGGAAACTTCTTAGACCATTGGGAACTGCATGAACCAAACGAGTTTATCTATATGTCTATAATTTTATGATAGTTTACCTCTCACTGCTGCTGACCAACTAAATAACCAACTTCTGAAAGCACATATATTCACTTTTGTGTTCCCTTTTTCAGTTAAGCATCCGTGTATGTTCCTTTATTACATCATAATTATCTCATGTGTGTCTTTTGTTTATATGGTTCTGCGTGAACAATATCTCATTAGGTGCGATTTTTCCTACTGCAGAAAAAGAGTAACACCCCAGCTGCTCAGGAAAGATGCATATTTCGTCTAATCCTTTTCCATCTCTGTGTGAATTTACCTGTTATGTTTCTTTCCTACCCTGCCTTCAGATACATGGGCTTGAAAAGCAGTCTTCCATTGCCTCACTGGTATTCTCAGTTTCCCTTCATGAACAGGATTTTTGATTTACGCGATGCATGTGATAGCATGTGTAGTAGCGTCTATGTTATAAATTTATCATACATCATCTATCCAAAATTTTAATCAAATCCACTTTATTTTTGCTGGAAAATTGAAATCATTTTAAATGTTGTTGACAATATGGCTAGGATGGGAAAAGAATGTAAAGGTTGCATGGTAAATGGTTATGGAGAAGTGAACCCAAGAGAAAGCAGCTTTTTTGTTTTGGTTTTCCTTGCTCTGTATTTGAAGCGTCATTGAAATCTTCTTTTGTAGGAGTGTTATCGTATCTCAGATAGTTTTCTATTTCATCATAGAGGATTTCATATTCTACTGGGGGCATAGGGTGCTGCATACAAAATGGTTATACAAGCATGTCCACAGTGTTCATCATGAGTAAGAAACTTCCATTACTTATTTCAATCCAAGGGTTTTATGTTGCATCTCTATATGATAAACAATATGCAGATATGCTACTCCATTTGGATTGACTTCTGAGTATGCTCATCCTGCTGAGATATTGTTCCTTGGCTTTGCCACCATCATTGGTCCTGCCATTACAGGACCTCATCTATTCACTCTGTGGCTATGGATGTCAGTGAGAGTCTTGGAAACTGTTGAGGCTCACAGTGGTTACCACTTCCCTTGGAGCCCTGCAAACTTCTTACCTTTGTATGGTGGGTGAGTTCCAACTGCATTTTCTTTGTGGGAAATTCCTTTGTTGCATACATTCAGAAATTGGTACGTAATATTTTTTTTTTGTTTTGATAGGGCTGAATTTCATGATTTCCATCACCGCGTGCTTTATACCAAGTCTGGAAATTATGCATCAACTTTTATCTACATGGACTGGTAAGAATCTAGTTTTCTTTTAAATATATTTGATATCATCTGTTTATTGATAATCTTTAATTTGTAGTTGTAACTTGTGAAGAATCCATTGTTAGCATGACAAGTTTTGCACATCACTAGTTCATATGTTTTGATAAAGAATAGTGGAATATGACCGTTTCTTATGTTAGTATGTTAAAAGCATTCACGATATTACAATCCACCGTTTAGTGGTACTTTTCTCTAGAGAAATGGCAAAGTTATGTTACAGGCAAATTTGAAACATGGAAGGTTTGAGGGGGTTTGAAACAGCTACTTTAGAGACTGAGACATACCTGTGGTAGGATCTTATGGAGATGTTCAGGATCAAGTTTCTCAGCAGGAGCAGAGCACAGTTCATGTGCACTAGCCTGCTTCTTTGAACCTTCTGCTCCCAAGTCCTTGATTAGTTATGAAACTTTGAACCTTCTCATTGGCAGGAAAAATCTAAAGTCATAATACTAAGTAACAGGACTTGGGGCATGTTTGGCTAATACTTATTTATGAAACCCTATAAGTTACTTTTTCTTACTTTATTAGAGGGCAAAATAGTCTGTTAACATCAATAAGTGAGTGTCCTTCTAAGTTCCAAAAAAATAAGTTGGGAAATCTCAACTTCATATTTTCGTACTTGTAAGCTAAAAATAAGTAAATAAGTAAACTTTACCAAACATGATTTTGGATCCTTATTGGTAAAAACACAGATAAAATTTAAAATAAGTAGGTTGCTAAACATGCTCTTCAGAGCCATTAAAACTCATTTTAAAGGTCTCTGTGGTAACTGTAGATCTGCATACTTCCTAAGCATCATATAAAATGCTTGAACTTCGTAGGTAGGTTAATTTGTTAGTTAGAAGCATTTGAATAAAATCTCTATGTTTGGTTATGCTTCCTAACATCTAATGCACAAATGTTACTCTTTTGATGATGTGGGTCATAAGGTATGCTTCTTCCTAACATCTCTATGTTGGGGGTATGCTTCTTTCAATAAAATTCATAGTTTATATTGACTATATAACTCACAGATAATGTACATTTTCCTCCGTTTCGACCCAATAGCAATCAATTATGAGTAGTTCGAAATTCGAGATTTTTATGGGTTATAACCCACGATTTCTGTTCATTTTCATTTGTTTCCACCTAATGGAAATTATATGATGTACTTCAAAATTAACAATCTACATGGGCTATACCCATAATTTTTGTTTATTTTTGTTGGTTTTGACATGATGACAATTTACTATATGTACTCCCAATTTTCAAAGGTTATAACGATCATTCTTGTCAATGCTCGTTCATTTCGACCGAATGATAGTTTAACTTCTTTTTTCCTTCAAAATTCATGATTTTCGTGAACTATAACCTATAATTTTTGTTTTTTTTGTTTATTTCCACCCAATGACAACTTATTATGCGTACTTCAAAATTCGCTATTTTCATGGGCTACAACGCATGATTTTTGTATATTTTCGTCCTTTTTGACCCGATGACAATTAATTATGCGTGCTTTAAAACTCGTGATTATCGTCGGTGACCCATGATTTCTATCAATTTTCATTTGTTTTCACCAAATGGAAATTATTTGGCGTATTTCAAAATTAGCAATTTACATAGGCTACCCATGATTTTTCTCTATTTTTGTCGGTTTCAACATGATGACGATTTATTATGTGTATTTTAAAATTTGGGATATTCATGGGTTATATAGCTCACGAAAATCATGAATTTGGATGTGTACATAATAAATTTGCTTTCGTTCATTTTGAATTAAAATTGAGAAAAGTAGTAAGTTATAGCTCATGAAATTTGTTATTTTTTATGCAGACAAGTTACTTGCATTCGTTCAAAATGAACCAAAATTGTAAAAAAATCATGGGTTATTTACTTTCGTTCAAAGTGAACAAAAAATGACATAGTTCACGAGTTATAGCTAATGAAAGTCATGAATTTTGATGTACACATAATTTATTTGCATTCGTCCAAAACAAACAAAATTATCAATAATCATAGATTTCATGAAAATCACAAAATTTCATGTATTCATAATTTATTTATACTCGTTCAAAAAAATAAAAATTGTCAAATTTCATGGGTTATTTGCAATAAAAATTGCAAATTTTGATGTACACGTAATAAATAAATTTCCTTTCAACCAAACCAAAATACTCAAGAATCATGGGTTATAGCTCATGAAAATCACAAATTTTGATGTGCCCCACAATTTATTTACATTTGTTAAAAAACAAATGCAAATTGTTAAAAGTCGTGGATTATATCCCAAGAAAATCACAAATTTTATATGCACATAATAAATAAACTGTCATTCCAAAAGAACTAAAAAATTTACTGAAATCATGTGTTTTACCTCATGAAAGTTGTGAATTTTGATATTCACATAATTTATATTCGTTCACAAAAAATAAAAATTGACAAAAATTATGGATTATAGCCTATGAAAATCGCAAATATTTATGTACACATAATAATTTTATTTTTATTCGAGGTGAACCAAAAAGAAAAAATCGTGGGTTATAGCTCATGAAAATTACAAAATTTTGATGTACACAAAATTTTGATATTCACATAATTTATATTCGTCCGTGAAAAATAAAAATTGTCAAAAATTATGAATTATAGCCTATGAAATTAAATTTATTTTTATTCGAGCTGGACCAAAAATAATAAAATCGTGGGTTATAGCTCATGAAAATCGCAAAATTTTGATGGACACAAAATAAATTCACTTTCGTTCGAAACGAACCAAAATGATAAAATTCGTGGGTTATAGCTCATGAAAATCGCGAGTTTGATGTATACATAATTTTTTTAGTTTTGTTCAAAACAAACAAAAGCAACGAAAATCATGTATCATAGCACATGAAAATCACGAATTTTTATTACTCGTAAAAAATTTGTTTTCATTCGAAATAAACCAAAATTAAAAAATTGTGGGTTAGCTCATGAAAATTGTGAATTTTGATATACATATAACAAATTTGTTTTCGTTCGAAACAGACAAAAATTTAAAAAGTTAGTGGGTTATAGCTCAAGCAACAATAACATCAAAGGCTTTATCCCAAATGTTTGGGGTTGGGTACATGAGTCATATTCTTCCATTCCATTCTATTATGAGGCATCTCTATTAAATTAAGCATAATCATATCCTTTTTAATTGCTTCTAACTATATTCTTTCAGGTCTTACCTCTGGATCTCTTAGTCCCATAATCCTATTAACCATAACACTCACTTTTCCTAACCGGTGCACTAAGAAGTTTCCGTTGTACATGACCAAACCATCTTAGTTGATTCTTTCTCATTTTATCTTCAATAGAAGCAACCTCTAATTTACTATGAATACACTCATCTCTTATATCCTATTTTTTAGTGTATACCCATAAGACCATCGCAACATTCTCATTTCTGTTGCACTCATTTTTTGCACATGTTACTTTTTGATTGCCCAACACTCTGACCCATAAAACATTACTGGTCTCATAACCATCCTATAAAGTTTTTACTTTAGTTTCATTGGTATTCTACAATTACATAAGACTTCCGAAGCACTCCATTTCTGAATATTTCGATTTGATTCGATGAACTTAACCTCACTATCATGCGTATGATTGATCTAAAGCGAAAATGATTACTTTTAGATATTTCTTGACCATCAATATATACTATAGGCTCTTTTCTACTAAAAATGCACTCCATATATTATGTGTTTGTTCTATTGATTCTAAAACATTTAGATTTAAGAGCTTGTCTTTACCTTTCTACTTTAGAAATTATACCTCTTTTAGTTTCGTCAACTAACACTTTCTCATCAGCAAATAACATACACCATGAGATTTCATCCTAAATGTGCCTAGTGAGTTATAGCTCAAGAAAATTACTATTTTTGATGTGCACAAAAGTGATTTAAATTCATTCAAAATGAATCAAAATTGTCAAAAATCATGAGTTAGATAAAAAATCATAAATTTTAGTGTACATATAATTAATTTAATTAACATAAAAAATGAAAAAAATCATAGGTTGTAGCTTATGAAATGTGCGGATTTTATTGTACACATAATTTATTTACATTTAGTCAAAATGAATTAATATTGTAAAAAATCATAGGTTAGGGCTCATGAAAATCACAAATTTTGATGTACCTATAATTTGTTTGCATTTGTTCAAAAACAAATGAAATCGTCAAAAGTCGTGGGTATCCCATGAAAATCGCAAAGATGTGCACATAATAAATAAACATTCATTCGAAAGAACCAAAATTGACAATGTGTTATAGCTCATGAAAATCACGAATTGTGATGTACTCATGAATAACTATATTTGTCCAAAAAGAACAAAAATTGACAAAAATTGAGTCAACTAGTGAAAAATAAAAAATTTTGATGTATTCATAAATAATTATATTTGTCCAAAAAGAACCAAAAATTGAGTCAACTCGTGAAAATCACAAATTTTGATGTACTTATAAATAATTATATTTGTTCGAAAAGAACTAAAATTGACAAAAATCGTAGATTATAGCCCATGACAATCATAAATTTTGATGAACACAATAAATTTACTTTTGTCCTAAATGAACCAAAAATGACAAAAGTCATGAGTTATATAGCTTTGAAAATCGCTAATTTTGATTTACATATAATTTATATAAATTCGTTCAAAATGATTCAAATTTGTCAAAAATTATAGATTAGAGAACATGAAAATTGTAAATTTTTGATGTAGGCATAATAAATTTACTTTCATTTAAAATGAACCAAAATTGAAAAATTCATGGGTTATATAGCTCATCAATATTGCAGATTTTGATGTATACATAATAAATTTGTTTTCATTCAAAGAGAAGCAAAATTATCAGAAATCGCGAAAAATAGTTCATAAATTCGCGAATTTTGATGTATACAATTTTTTTACATTTGTTCAACATGAGCATCATGCGTTATTGCACATGAAAATGATAAATTTT